CAAAGACAACAATCATTTGGAGCATACTTCTGCCGCTGTGGTTTGAATGCAACAATGAACTCTGAAAAGAACCTCTCTCCATTATCCTGTGGCAAGGGCTCTGCATTTGGAAATGGTTCATCGACACCCACAGCCAGTGCTAGCTGATTCAGGTAAGCCAACTCTGAATTACTACGGACCGAGAGGCTCAACGTGATTTACTACACATTGATTTCACTCACACTCAGTTATCGACAGTGACTGGAACGAGCGTCGTCTGCGTTAGCAGCAGATGACGAGGCGAACCAGAGTGGGATTGCCTGGGATCGTGGGCGTCATCACCAACGACGATTGGCACACAACAAGACATTGAAAGTTCCGTGGACAGCACTGGCGGATGCTCCATGGCAGTTCACTTGGCCCATGATGATGACAAGACGAAACGCGCTGTATTATGGGTCTCTGTCGGAACTACGCAAGGAGAAATTGTCTTGATGAAGATTCTAGATGATACTCCCAATGGGTCCAGCACGACGGAAGCTACTGGAACAACAGAGCGGCTTGTCATTCAGTCACCAAAAAAGTTCCGGTCCGTTCAAAGAGTTGCCTGGCTTGTTGGTGATGCTCGCACACACTCACACGCCACCGGAATTCTTAAAAGAACGAAGGTAATTCCCACAACATTTTGATCGTAATTCTTGATGATAGGTATTGTATCTCCATTGCGTGTGGATTCCACGTCCAAGTGTGAGCTTGTGGGTATGTCTATGCCAGGCTTTCTTCCCACTGCGACTTCCCATTGAGAAACCAAGATCACCATTGCCAATGGGCAAACTCTGTCATGGAATGCTTCACACGTTGGATATACCCTCCACCGTCTTGATCGTTGAAGGTGATCGGGCGCTCGGCGATTCCAGAGTGCTGTGACGGCCTGTGCATCTTTGAATTATAGAGTGGCCACATGAGGTAAGCGCAAGTTGTTTGGGGACGAATGTAGTGCCCACAAGCGCCACATATCCGTTCGTGTCCAACTCATGTTGTGACCTCTGTAGGAAAGGATCAATGTCCACAACACAGTTGAGGAGAAGCTGACGACAACAAATTCAACGCTCGTGACACGAGATATCTCTCATACTGCTGGCTCTGAGGTATAGAAAGTATGACACCCAATTGTAGATACGCTTCTGTATATCGCTTGCACCAGACTAGGAACTGTCTCCGTCACGTTGTTGTTTGGGTCTCTCATGTCAGCTGGTCACACGCTGTAAATTGCCTGTTGACGATGTTATCGCTACTGCGAGAAACAACCTACCTGCAAACGAACTACAAAAACCTCTGCCGCATTCATCTCTGTCTCGGTGCGGGACGTCATCGTAAAGCTGTACAGTGAGATTTGTTATGGAGCACCAATGAAACCTATTACAATATTCAAACGGGAATCTTTTGCAGTGGGCTGTCAGTCAATGCATCATTGGCGAGGGCCCTTGCCACTGATAATGGAAGATCTCTGCGCGAGCAATGTGTCTGGGGTATGTAAGTGCTCTCCAGGAGCCATTGTGGAAGGGAGCGCGAGAGAGAGACTCCGTCAATTGTTTGCTGGGTATTCATGCTAGGGGAAGAGCAACCATAATCTCATAGTGGATTCTTTGAGAATTTGTATCTCTTTGGTGGATACGAACTTCTCGAGTGACATATCACCAGCAATGAGAGAGGTGTCTGGTCGCAAGTTCTTGCGAAGTCAACCAGATGTCCTGATCCATACCTTGATCACCTTAGCAAAGTCTCTGTAACAGGAATCCTTCGCTCTCTTCTGATATATGAAGCCTATCTATGGCGCCCAGAGTCAGTCATTCGCGCCTCACTAGTCACCACTATGCGAATACGCGAGTCACAACTTTGCCCAGTGAGAGTCCATCCACAAGTATGGGCTGCTTCGCAGGTCGTCCACACCAATAAGAAGAAGAGTCCAGGCGGACAAGTGAAGATCTTCTGGAACCGCTTGCTATCCAATATCAGTGTGACAACCTGCAGACGAAGGCGGGTCTGCGAGTGTCGCGCGACGATGAGCATGAGAGAGACTAGGTTCAGGTAGGTATAGGCTTTGGGAAGCGTGGGGACATTTGTTTCGAGTAAGGAACACAACTACTCTATATCCACAAGTCTCAGTAGAGGCGCAGCCAACGCCTCATAATCTCCGCAATGCCATGGCATTCTAAAGAACTCTTGCGTACCCGTTCTTGCAGAATGGAACACGCTGGACATGAGCGTAGGGAGCGTGTGGTGGGTACCTTGACGAGAGAGGAAGTTCGTATAGAGTTTTGCGAGCTTGCACGAGCTCTCGAGAATCTTCGTTGCTCTGATTCTCTCACGCTTGTGTACATTGTTGCGAGCGCTTTTGGTACACCTGCATCGCACAACGCATTACCCCTGAGTCCCACCTGTATGAGAGAGCAAGTTAGCAGGCTCGATGCTAGTTAGAGCTGTAGCCTCGAGGAGTCAGTGTAAGGGCCAGAAGGGCTAAAACAGGAGACACGCCTCATTGAGGTGTAGTTGAGGTGGAGCGCAAGCTGCATTTGCTTGAAGAAAGGGATCAGGATCAGTTTCGCTTCCTTGCTGAGGTGTTCAAATAGTCAGAAAGTAACTTACTCTCTGAACAAGTAGGAGCTGAAGAAAGTATCTGCATCTTCGACTCGAAATCTCCTGGCAGTTTGACTCTAAGATGAAGCGGCTGCATAGGTCTCCATTTCCATAGGTTAACATGATAAAATCGAATACTTCTGTTGCTGTTCGCTCCAAGTGACAAGCCATGTTAGGCGGGTGTATACGCACGCATTTGAATCTATGAAGCTCTTCCTAGTGATAGAGGCTATAAGGCGAGGGTGAGTATGCTGGGGCATCAAGAGCGAGAAGGCGACTTTCTGCCCAGAGGATCAATACGAAGAGATCCAGTTGCTTGGTCTCTATGTACTCAGCTGGAGTATATATCCTAGCACCAAGATAATCTGGACATGACGAGATTCGCTGCAAGAAGGAGAGATCCAGAGTGTGATCAGCCATTGTAACTCGTCACTAAGAGAATGAGGGAGGAGTCTGTATGGGTATGGAGTCTGTTGTGCCTCGCATAAATGGTAAAGAGTGTGTGCACAAGTAGTCATCTTCACCTAATCACTAGTTGATGGAGGTTCAAGATAGCAGTCTTCGGAGGGGAAGATGGACCACTCAGCGGACCGATAGGAATCTTGTCCGCGGGCTAAATTCCCAATTTCTTATTATGCATAGAGTTGGCGAGTTGATCCATATTGCTGTTTGTGGGAACTACAGGCGGGGATATTGAGTTGTGGGAGCTACCTTCGGATGCCAGTGCTGAAGAATGGAATGTTCTCCTTGAGTCAAGCAGCAGCAGCCACTGACGTTCAAGGTATTGTTGGATGGCACACCAATACCGATAGGAGGAGGAGCGTTTGGCAGGTGCCTCCACTCTCTGAGTTACTCTGAATAACGAAACTGAGTGCTTGATTATATGTAGTGGTGGGACGACCAAGCTATCATTGTTCTGAGTTTCAAATAGCAACTGCTACAACCGCCACTATGAGGCGTTCCATAACGGTGAGAGAAGCTAGCTCTTCGGCCATCAAAGAAGTGCTTCTGTTGGGAAAGAATCGCATCCTGTCGGTTGGATATAGCCAACGGTTGGCCTTATGGGAGTGCAAATCACCGAAATCCAAAAGTGACGATCGCCCCGATCCACTGGACGGTGATGACACGGGGCTGGAGCTGGTGTGGACAGCAGCTTGTAGTGTTGGCGATGTCAATTGTATGGCTTGCACTACCAACACAACCTGTGGACGCGTCGTGGCTGTGTGCGGAGCTGGGGTTGCTTTGTACTCTCTACCAAAGGAACCAATTACATGATATCTTGTAACCTGCTAGCTAGCTAGACCCGGCTGTCAATCACCCAGGAGGATCAATCCTTCTCTCTTTCCTGACGCTGACTTCACTCCAGCACATTGACGGGCTTCAGCACATCACCAGAAGCCACGATTCTGCTCTTTTCTTTTCTGTGTGTGTCGCCAGCTTAGTGCGTGCTTTGAGAAGAAATGCCCTCCGAACCAAAACATGCATGTTGCAACAATTCCAGGAAGTGTCGCTTGTGCAGGGAAAGGAGAAGGCATTGAGGACCTCTTGATGGACAGGTACGGTACCATGCAGCAGTTTGACCTCGCCCTTGCTTCCTCTCCAACCGGCGACGAGAGAGTTAGCCATGGTGGTGTTATGATTGACGGGGAGCCGGAGGAACGCTCCCCGGCCCCTTTCTTGCAGGTTTACTCTGTGGTGTGGGTACTTCTTCTCCGGTTGCTTGCTGCAGCCTTTGAATAATGCATCGTAATCCCATAATTATTTTTGTTGTCGTTGTGATTCAAGCTGCAACTGTTGCTTAGCACTCTTTGATTGCAGAGAATATTCGTACTGAAGGCAGGCAATATGGTGGTGTGGAAACTAAATTGCCAATACCTGACCACAAGAACTATAATGGAGTGGGCTATACCGATAGCAAAGCAGCCAACTTCCCTCAAGAATGAAAAGAGGAGAGAGTATTGAAAATATCTTGACATCTGAACAGCAGAGCTTGATCACACACATCTTTTTCTGCAGCTACTTCAATAGAAAGGGGAAGGGACTAAATCAGTATCAAACACTTGCTGTAGCTATCCACAAGAATTGATATCGTCCAACTTTCACTGACAAAGAAGCAGTGTATTGAGTTCAACAGCCTGAGCAGCCTGATTGGTGCATGAGCAGGAACCAAATTTTCAGTATGAAATTTGAAAAAGAGCATGCCACAGGCCACAGGCTAGTCAATGAGAGAGATCAGAATCCATTATTAATTGGAAATTGATCAAGCGGTTGTCATTCCCAAATTGAAATTGCCTCTGCTAGAAAGACATACAGGGCACACGCCGCAAGTGGATATGTATGGAGCAATTGCAGAGCAACAACTTCCAAGCCTATCCAATAGTGACTCACACCAACCAACTGATACGTGGATACAACAACAAGCACAGAATGCTTCCCCTGCCACCGAGGCACACAACAGAGGCACTTTTATTCAGTTGTGGCGACGGCACTGATTTTCCCACAAAGGCAGCCATTGGGTCTGCTATTGCTAGACATTCCACAGCGTACCGAGCAATTGGCAGATTGAAAAGAGTGGCAGTGAGGGACGAACCGATAAGAAAATGGAATGCGCCCGGGAGTTTGCCGGCTTCCAGCTCTTCTGGTCGCAAGAGTGGACCAAAGGCTTCCATGAACTTGTATGGATGATAAAGACGAACATATGCCATTCCCACAGCTCCAATCATCAGACCTGCATTGCCATAACTCATCGGAATAATGTAGGAGGCCTGTACTATAACGTGTCCAGTCAACGCATGCTGCCATCGTCGTTTTGCCTCTCTCTCCAGTGACACATGCGAAACCAGCACTTGAAAAGCAACAATCAGTGCAGTGAGCACAGAGAGGCGTATTAGGGCATCATTGTCGAGCATGATATGCAGATTGGATAGGAAAGATAGCCTCTGAAGAAATGGCAAGGCCAGATCCGCAGCAGTGATAGTGACGAGTCTTGTTTCTCCAGTCACGGGGCCGTGGAAACAACTGATAATAGTGTGTGGCAGAAAGCATCCGTGGAAACAGGAAAGGCAATAGGTCCAGGCTCACGCGCAGAGGTGGCACACAAAGCTCGGGTAGCTTGCGCTCATCCAGCAAAACCAGATTAATAAAATAGAGCGGAGTACGATATATGCTACAAAATGTCTACTTCAGTAGACTGAAGAGTCACTCTCGGCAGCCTGCTGGGCCAAGAAAAAGTGTTCATGGAGAGTCCAGTCTCTGGAAAATGCTCTCGGCAATGGCGGTCCATGCAGTGCCTGGTGAGCAAAATCCAAAAGGCTCCAATCTTTGAAGATCCCGACCCGTAGTCACAGATTTTTCATTCTTCAACACACCCCAGAGTTTAATTGCATCTTGAGAAAGTAACACAAGAAGAATCTTTTAACCTGCCTGCCCGACACTGTCTCTCACCCTAGAGGAATGGGTCATGCCCTACGGAAATAAATGTTTGAGAGAACTCGAATTCGTACCAAAGAGTGCCAAGAAGAACCCTTCTCCAGGGAAAAGACATTTTGAGCCTAGCTAGAAAGAAGGCATTATGACGTCCTGAAAACCGGTACCGGTACTTACACAGGATTTTTGTTGAGCCAGAGAAATCCCAGAAACCATCAGCTAGGGGCTCGCAAATAGTCTTCTGACTCTAGCTCTCCACGATCGGAAAATTCAATTGTCGCGGTCTCTGCCAAGCTCGCACCTCTCTTCACTGGAGATTGATCATCATCTAGTCCTATAGAAGCAAGAAGAAAGCAGCACAGCATAACGAGCCCTTGTCCACCATGGTGAAGAGACGAGAAGTAAGCCGCTCCAAGTCCTTATCCGCCAAACGACCGTCGAAGGATGGAGACTTGCGGGCGAAACCAAGGACGAGAAGTGGAAGGACTGGGCGACTTAGCAGCAAGAATGCTACCGTTGCTTCCGACGATGTCGACAAGAACGATCTCACAGATATTGAGATCGAGGCAGCAATGCCTGCCACTCGATCCAGCTTGAACGTATCAAAGACAAACCAAAATGTGTCAATCTTCAAGAGAACACTCAGTGCCGATGCCTGGGGATCTATGCAGCAACAACCAAGAGAAGAGGAGAAACCAACCAAGAATGCTTCCTGGTTGTCGCCTAAACGATCCTCCCGATTAGAACGTGCCTTGTCGTTTCGAGCTTTTAGTAACAAGCTTGTGGGTAGCAACAAGTCGCTAGTTATGGAAGGCATCGGCGGTGGCGGTCATGATTCCTTCAACTTCTCGGTGGATATGCTTTCGGATTCGGACAAAGACAGCAACGGCAACAATAAGGGCAAGGGCGTGAAGACTGCTGGTACTTCGGCTCCCCGGGTCAGTCTCTACACTTCGTCTCCTAGCCAGCGAGGTCTGATAGCAGATCCCCTGGCTCCTCGTCAAGGGCTTTATACGTCGTCTCGCAGCCAAAAAGCGGAGGTACTGCGCGCTTGTAGCAGACTTGAAGAATGTATCGATGCGCCAGGTATCCGAAGTGAATCTTGTCTCTCCCCGCCGGACTCTATCCCGTGCTTTTCCTTGGTCCTCTCCAATTGCAGTTCAAACATGTGCGAGAAAAGAGTCAAATAGAGACCCTCGGGCACTCGCTTACATCAGACGAGCTCAGCTATTCCTCCTCGCTCATACCCAATCCAGGTCGACATATCATGATTGCTAGTCTGTTGGCGTTCAAATCGAGCGAAGACCTCGGTGAATAGAGGACAAGTGATTCCAACCAACACACGCCGAGCAAGATGAGCAAAGTCGCAAAGTGGAGTCTCTGCAATCGCACAAGGTATATCTCTGTAGAGTATGCAGTACACACTCTCAGGGATGTAATAAAGAGGGTACACCAGTCACAAGAGGGGCTAATGCTCACGCTCGGAGTCGGTGTCTCGAGTCTCCATGGACATGCGTGAGTGGAGACTGTGCTCCTATTGCTGGTTCGAGAGTCCAAGAACAGAACAGTTCACTCTATTCGGATCGACGCAAGACTCCATACACCGCAGACTTCAGTAACGGAACCTATCTCTGCGCATGCATAATCACCAGACGAGGAACACGTCAACTCTGGAGTATAAGACTTCTGCGGCCTCCGAATCTGCACCGCGCAACTTCTGCCTCATCCAATGGCGCGGCTCCAAGAAAACGGCCCACGCTGGATCTTTTTCGCTGTCCATGTCTCTATGTTGGCGAATGGAGGGAGACCACTTACCCAAAGACTCGCAGCACGCATCGATAAGTTAGTAGGCCTTACGTGACACCGCGGCCCTCTCTAACACGATCTGAACTTACTGGGGAGGTATACTCTCTTGCCTGGTAGATATAGAGAGGAGCACGATCTTGTGCGCACGTGTTTCTGGTGTCTACTGCATATGAGAGAGAGAGAGGAGTATCACGGTTGCTCAATGCTCTCTAGAGCGAATAGGGTACACAGTGTATTGTATTAATGAGTGCAAGACGCTAGTGCAGACCAGAAACCTCTTGGATTGATTGTATGAGTACTCACCAGAGGACTATGAGAAGGTCCTCAATGCATTGAAACATGGCCTATTGTCCACCAATGGCAAGCACTACTACATGGCAGAGATCTCAGATAAGCAAGCCTCCAAGGTCTTCAGAGCATCCATATACTTGCATGCAGACGACGATCGTCGCATAGAGCGATACAGATACTGGGTTACGAGCCATGACGAAGAGCTACTGACAACTTTGATGCACGATACAATCGGAGGCAGAGCGCATTTCTCGAATCACCGCCGATAGCGCTAGCGCGTTGTGCACAGCTCACCAGGAAGGCTCGCACCAGAGTCCAGTATAGTGGAGTGAGAATAATACATCAGCACGAGGAAACAGGAGCGTCTGTACTCTGGATCCTACTTGTCCAGAGAGAGATGAGTCATCATAGAATTCACTTTGGATTACACCATTTGCTGATTGTCGAGCACCCACGCAGTGAAGAGAGGAGAGCTTGCGGTTCGCATGCACAAGCAGACTCCGCACTTGGCTGATCCTGGCTGACATGAGGCACCAGACTTTGGTGATACTGACGCCAATCCCTACATCAGCTGGCGATATTGTTCCCCCAAGGGCAATCCAGGCCGTATCGCGCAGGAGCTACACGTATCTCCCAAAGGGGAGCAGGATAGAGCACTCTTACACTTATTCTGGTGATAGGTTCATTTCCATGATCACACGGTCAAGTTCGCCACACGCAGATTTGTAAGGAACGAGAGTGGGGACCAAAGTGAGAAGTCCGATAAGCACACCTTATTGCGGAGATCGGCCACATCGTACTTGATGTGCGCAATACTGCCTGAGGAGAGCATATACGCAATACACATCAGATCCTAGACACAAGAGAGCCTGTCCTGTCAAGCCAATGACGGTTCGCTTGGTTGAGGCAAGAATGTCCACTGAGAGGTAATTGCCCCAAGCCATGCATTGGCGAAATAATATGAGTTTGTACTAGTACTGAGGAGGATCATCATTCATGAGCCTTGGAAGATATGTGAACACCTCTGAAAAGATGGTGACGAGATAGAGGGCCTATGAGTGGGCGGAGTCGACGGCAGTATGTTGCCACATATTACCCATTTCCAAATGCAGAACCACTGCCATAGGATAATGGAGAGAGGTTATTTTCAGAGGTAACTACATGAGATGTCCTGCGACATTGCACGAATACCCACGACAAACACGGCGAGCTGTTCAGTATATACTGTATGCCTCTGGCACTATGCATTGTTGTCCCTCGCTTGCTTGTGAGCTCGGGCTTGCATCTGGAGCCACGCTACGTGAGGGAGATCCACACACATGATATCGTGGCCCCACAGGCCAATCAGCTTCAACATGCATATTCACACACAGACTGCAGAACAGCAACATGAGGTTGGCACCGCCGGCCGCCATACCTGCCACCACCAATCGACGCACCCCGAGCCCGTCGAACCAGCTCTCACCAAGCTCTCGCGCTAGCGTCTACTAGGAGACACTCAATGAATACTCGCTCATCTATGCTCCTGAGGATCGAGCTGTTCGAATGAATCTATGTAAGCCAGCTCATAATCACTGCCCAATACAAACAGCTTTCACAGTGGTTTACTTAAAGAATGATCCAGCACAGTTTGGAGCACAGGATTGTATGGTAAGAAGGTTACCGCACGCAAGGTTTGCATTGGCAGACCATCTGCACTCTGCTCTGGGACTATGCAAACGAAGCATGGACCCTCAATGACCACTAAAGAGAATGGTCCCGCGAGAGCACACGCGAGAGTTTGTCGCTGGTATGGCGTCGAATGCGAGGGCTCTATGGTGACACATCTGAACCTGACGAACAATCACATCTGGGGTGACTTTCCCATCGAATTCCAAGCGCTGAGTGAGCTGCGAGTGTTGGATCTTTCAAAGAACCTCCAATTGAAGGGTTCTCTCTCGGCTGATCTTTTCACAGCTTGGAGCCAAATGGAATATCTTCTGCTTCAGGAGAATCGATTTGGAGGTCGGTTGCCAGAACAGATTGGCGAACTCACTCGACTTACCCAGCTCTCGCTTTGGGGTAACGAGTTGAGTGGTCCAATAGCGCCAACTTTGAACAAGTTGACCAATATGAGGGCCTTGATGCTGCAGGATAACAGCTTCATTTCAACAATTCCCGATTTGTCCTCATTGCAGGAGCTAGGTGAGCAATCTCTTTGGAAACTGGTTCTAGCCTGGACTTTCAAAGTCACGGTGTACAGTACTTTCCTTCCTTACACCGAGTCATTCTTTTCCGTTGTCATGACAGCCTATCTACATCTAGACGTCAACAAACTGACATCTACGATTCCAAGTTGGATTGGAAAGCTCACGCAGCTTCGTAAGTGTCAACGTTTGAGTGTGCTTTCTACTAAGAAGAAGGTTGATCTCATCCATGCCTCTTTTCTTGCTTTTCCAATAGGCGATCTGAGAGTACACCAGAATAGCCTTACTGGAACCATCCCAAAAGAATTGGCCAACGCCCAGAATTTAGGTACGAGAAGTCTTGCAAAAAGCTGCAGTGCATGGACTCCTACCTCTCACTGCTCTTTCTACACGACTTCCATTCGCTTCAGGGGTCTTCTTCGCAGGGGACAATCGATTGGCAGGGCCGATTCCAGAAATCTTCCAAGATCTTCCCAAACTAAGTAGGTTTCCAATGCCGGTGGCAAACGGAACTGATGGCGATGTACCTCTAACTTGTGCCTTCTTTCGCCATCCAGGCGACTTGCAGCTCCATCGAAACATATTCCGAAGCAGTCTTCCTACTTCCATTCAGTACCTCACAAACCTCAGTAAGTGGCGTATTCGGGCACAACATGCTAATCGAGTCCGTGCCTCGGGCTATGGCTAACAACTCGTGATTTCTGCCGGCGACTTCTCTCCAGGACGCTTCACGATTGACCATTGTGGCATGACAGGAACACTGCCACCAGCATGGCAAGCTCTTAGCAAGCTCCAAGTACTCGCAATCAATCACAACAATTTGGTGGGGCCCCTTCCCACGACCTACGGCAACATGAGGAGTCTACGCGATCTTTGGGTGAATCACAACTTCCTGCAAGCAGCTATTCCCAGCGAGCTCGGGAAGCTAACGGATTCCCTTGTACGACTATATCTCGAGAGCAATGGTACGTTGGCTTCTTTTGATGGTGTCATCTCTCAGAACCCCCCTCCTCAACCCTCGTCTTGACCTCTTTCAGCTTTCCATTCGACCGTGCCGGCAGAGTTGGGAAATCTAGACAAACTCGGTACGTACATACATGTAGTTACGAGGAGCATTGTTGCATGCTGAACTAGCTAGCACGTCAGCTTATCCTCTTTCCTTTGATTCGAAAACTACAGAACAGTTTCGCGTCTTTGAGACTCTAGTAACGGGGACCAAAT